CCTAAAGGATTCTATGATTCTAAATAGAGTTGCAATTGCTCTGCACGAAGAATGCTTGCTTGAAATCAAGTAGTTCAGTATAAGGTTCTACATATTTTTCCTAAAATTAAGCAACGTATTTCTAGATAACAAAAGATTATTTTTTTTTTATCACTTACACTTGGGACTTACTCTTAGTGCTTCCACTAGACTATCCCACAGCATTTTAAAGACATGATTAAGTATCGTTATCTGTGTTTGACAATGGAACGAGGGATAGCTAGAACACTACGTTGACTTTTCCAAGGTTAGAGGGAATCAGCATCAGAACCAGAACTGGAACTCATGTATGTAGGCCACTGTTCAGCACTGCTGGACTGTATATGAACTCATGAGTGAAAAAAAAATACTTAAGACAATGATGGAGACAAACTAAAATAAGTAGACTAAAGAAGATATTTGGGGAGAACTTTAAAATCTTAGATGGCCTCATTGATACAGAAACAATGCTTTAGGAGGAAACAGGCCAGCCATGAGATGATTGCTTGAGGTAGAAGTTTAGAGTTAAATAACGGGATTCGATATAAGGTTTTAAGGGGTACAGGAAATTAGGGAAGTATCCCAACTATACAATGCTAAGAGAACTATTATATTTTTATTATAGATAAATTTAATTTAGAATCTTCCATAATGGGAATATCTGCTACTCAGCGCTAATGTTCAAACAGTCTGAGGTCTCCTCATTTCAAGATCTCAGAAATTTCAGAATTTAGATTCTCCCCTAATTCTCAGGAATCCCAGTCATTATTGCTGCACTGTGCTGCCCTGTCAAATATTCAGATGCATACTAGGATAAACCATGGAAAAATTTCAGCCTTTTTTTTTTTTTTAAGTATTTTTTTATCCTCCTTTGACTGCATGACAGAATCTTAGCTTCTTTCTGTGTTTGATTAGGTGGAAACATTATTGGTGGTCATGGGAAAGGCACTGGAAATCTTGGAATTAAGTCAGGACATGGGATATGTTACTGCTTCCCAAGAGAGAACTGTTATTGTGAGAAAGACGACATCGAGGGTAAGTCTAAACATTATCTGCTGTTCTCTTATTAATTTTTTCCTCTGTATATATCTACTGTCTGCATATACACAACAATCTAAACTTGTGGGCATGTTAATAAGCAATATATTTGTTGTGAGACTGCCAATATAAAATTAAGAGTTGGGACCTTGACTACTTCTATAGAGCCTGAAAATTTCCAGAGGGGGGCATGAGGCCTCTCCCCGGAGTATTGTGTCCAGTTCTGGGCTCCTCATTTCAAGAGGGACAGAGATCTACTCGAGAGAGTCCAGCAGAGGGCTACGAGGATGACTGGGGGACTAGAACACCTGCCTTATGAGGAGAGGCTGAGAGACCTGGGGCTTTTTAGTCTGGAGAAGAGAAGACTTAGGGGGGATCTGATTAATGTGCATAAATATATGAGGGCTGGGTATCAAGAAGAAAAGGGCAGCCTTTTTTCACTTATGCCCTACAATAGGATGAGGGGCAATGGACACAAGCTGGAGCACAGGAAATTCCACCTCAGCATGAGGAAGAACTTCTTTCCTGTCAGGGTTCCAGAGCCCTGGAACAGGCTCCCCAGGGAGGTTGTGGAGTCTCCTTCCTTGGAGACTTTTAAGACCTGTCTGGATGCATTCCTGTGTGACCTGCCCTAGACTAGATGGTCCTGCTCTGGCAGGGGGGTTGGACTCGATGATCTCTGCAGGTCCCTTCTAACCCCTAACATTCTGTGATTTCTACCCTTAGCTAAAGGTTCTTTTTTATCCATGACTACATGACAAACAGGTTGTTGTCCTTTGATTTCCAGCAGCATTTGCACTTCAGTGAGACTCACCTGATATTTGCAGAGATAGCTAGGAGAATTAGGATAACAACTTCTATTACTTTCAAGTATTTCCAGCTTCCTAATCATTTCTGAAAATTTCAGCTTCGAAATGTCAAAGCTAGACAGCACCCACTGTGTTGGGACAAGTGGATTACTTTTCTTCATTGACCTTTTTTTAAACAGAAAAATTTTATTCAGTTTTTTGAAAAGGATTGAAAGTTCTTGCTTTGCCTTTTTTCTGTTATCCCCCACCCCAGCCCCGTCCCTTCTGGAACAGTATTGTTCAGTTTCCACTTATTTCTGAAATACAACTTGGAGAGGCAGCTAAGTTGACTGTGTGTCTGAAGTCAGGATTATCTGATGAACAACAGTGCAAATGACAGTAGTTTGGATCTCTCATTTATTCAGGAAGGGACCCCCTACAGATGCTGTCTAGCAGCATTTAAGCTTAATTTCCAAAGTAAGATGCTAAAAGCCCTTCTGCGAAAGTGGAAGTAGTAAATGGGGATTCAAAAATGCATATTACTTTAGAAGCAGTAGCAGTATTAAGCAATGTTTTCAGAAAACAATTATTTTGTTAAATACAAAGCAGAAATATTCCAAGTCTCTATATAATTTAAAAATACTAAGAGAAATATTCTTCAATATCTAACAATTGACATAATTAATTAAATTAATGTTTGAGGAAGATTTTAGTTGATGGGTTGAACAGCTCTAACGAACTTGTCCACATTTCAGTCATGGGTCTCTAGAGATATCTTCTGATAAGTGGTATTGGAAGATCAGTGTATGGTCAGCTGAGTCTTAAAGAAGAGTGTCATTAGTAGCCCATGTCTGTAAAGATAAGGAACACTGGGTCAAGCTAGCTGTCCTTACATATACACAGGCATTTAGGCAAACACCTGATGGTGTCCAAAATAAAAAAATAAAAAAAAAAAATTAAAAAAAAAGAAAATATTGGTAAGTGTAGTGGGCATATTTGCAAGTTCTCAAATTTCATTGAGAGCTAGCTAGTAAGTTTTCCTCTAGGTTTTTAAGTTTTTTTCAGTTGCCATCACACCTATGTCTGTTACATGCACCGCCAAATCAAACGAGCAAAGTTCTAAGAAGCTCTTCTTGGTCTACAGAGCAACTATGTGATGATGTGTGCAAGACCGTGATAGCAGGGGCAGTGCTGCTGTCCTTCATCATCTCTGTGCTGCTTTCTTCCTATTTCATCCATCGTTACCACAAGAATTCTCCAAAGCCACCTATTGCCTCTGCAGAAATGACATTCCGGCGCCCAGCTCAGTCCTACCCCATCAGCTATTCTTCCACCAATGTCCGCAGGCCTTCTTTGGATTCCATGGAGAACCAGGTGTCTGTGGACACCTTTAAAATACCAGTAAGCCTGATGTGATTTTGCATGATCTTTTTTTTATGTATGTCTTTTTCCTAAAGAATGTGGTTTATACATGCAGAAAATGTTACAGAAATACAATCTATTCATAGAAATACCCAATTCAAATATCTCAATTGGAAACCACGTGTACAGGCAGGGAACTGAAGATACTTAATGAATAATTGGATAAACCATATAATTTAACCTATAAAGCCGGTATATGCTTTCACTTTTGTCATGTTTTAATATACTGTGACATCTTAGGTCTAATGTGAGCCAATGTGTTTTTCTAAATGTAACTCTGCATTTGACAGTAGCGTGATTTTTACATTAACATTGTCCACTTAAATACTAATATCCAGCAGGTTTGTAGTCTCTATGGTGAGCCATAGTACTACAACAAGGGTAAGTTTAAAACAAAACAAAACCCCTCACTGAGTTCTGTTCCTGATTTCTGATATATGGACTATATCATCAGTTGGAGGGGGAGTTTTCCCCACATTTTAAGGATTTTTGTCCCGTCACACTATTATACTTTTAATCTAGTTTTTTTCTGTTTTGAATCACATACCACCCATGGTCAGCTGATGCATTTTCTTGGACAAACACAGTACAGAAATACTGCCACTTTATATGACTTATGTGGCAACACAATTCTGTTTCAATGTTAGATATTGAGATCTTCACAGACCTTGTGCTCAGTTTGCTTTAATTTCTTATCTGGTTTGTACATCTATCATAATTTCACAACCTTAAGATTTAATAACACTAATTTCATAAGAAGAGCATGGTTGCTTCTGATGAATTCTTAAGGGAAGGCCATATTCTGTGAGTAAAACTGATACACTTCTCTGTGAAGTCCAAGGTCATGCTTTCAAAATAATTATGAATGTAAGCATTTATCCTGTATCTCTTCATTTTTCATTTATACCTAATTTCTCAGACCTATAAATATAATCCATTATCCATAGACTACACATACTGCCTGTTTTGAAGATGTTTCCAAGCTCATGGAAAAACACCTGCAAAAGACTAAGAGATTTAAAAGCTTTTACAGCATTTGATACTGATATTTCATAGCTTTAGATATTGATAAAAAGAACAGAACAGCCAAATAGTGTACACTAAAGTGTGCCTGTTCTTAAAGAATGGTTTCCTATTGAACATTAATGCTTCAGGTTTAGTTTGCCACTCCTTTTCTTGCTTCATCTTATAGGGTTCCTTTTCTCTCCTGCAGGAGGATCCGAAGTGGGAATTCCCTCGGAAGAACCTAGTTCTGGGCAAGACTCTTGGAGAAGGAGAATTTGGAAAGGTTGTCAAGGCAACAGCATTCAGACTCAAGGGCAGGGCTGGCTATACCACTGTAGCAGTGAAAATGTTAAAAGGTACATTTCCATCTGGGTCTGAAATGCTTTGCAAACTAGTTGTTGTAACCTCTGAATGGATTTTAAGAGGGGCTAGCTGGAAAGTAAAATGTCAGCTAAAAACAACCATTGTCACAGCCTCTGTTTCTTGCGGCATTTTGTTTTATTCTAATAGATTTCTGACTTTAGGAGCTAGCATCACATTGATCCAAGGAAATAATTTCCACAAGTAATTTTAATTCATGATGTGCAAGGAGCCTGTCTTAACATAGCGAATATATTTAATTTTGTTTGGCATTGATGAAAATATTGCAGGAGTTTGTTAAAGATTTCTAATGATTTTTTCCCCCTTCTATCCAGTTTTCTTTGATAGAGCTTTTTAAATGAATCATGTTATAATCACATCAAGAGATAGAGCAGACCTACTAAGTTGCTTTTTGATCTAGAATTCCATCCACTTCTATACTTTCTGATCTGCTTTTCAATTACTAAGAGCTTTGTGAAATCCCTGGAGGTATTTAAAGGATGTGTAGATAAGGTGCTTAAGGATGTGGTTTAATGGTGGGCTTGGTAGTGTTAGGTTGATGGTTGGATTCCATGATCTTGAAGGTCTTTTCCAACTACAACAATTCTATGAATAGCCCAGTGCTGTCTCCTGATGTCTTCAGTTTACCCTAAGATTTTAAAGCTGGGGAAAACAAAGTATGCCTAGATGATGTTAAGATGATAACGTGACACCATTCACAGCCACTTATAAGTAAAATCATGTCATTACAGGAAAATGATATACTACTTACTACCAAGTCTACTATGTGCAAGTTTAAAAAACAAAACAGAACTAAAAAAAACCACATCTGTTGTTGCTCCTGTGTATCCCATAATTTTACCAGAGAAATAAATGGAGCATGAAGTGCCTGCCTGTATTACAAGAGATTTAGTGGAGAATAGACATATGAAGGAAGTCTAGGAACAAAGCTTTTTCAGAAGTGAAGACTAGTTAACCATTACTTGTAATACTCAGTTAATGACCTGTATACCATTATTAATAGAATAGTCTTAGTGTTTCATTTCATATTTATCTGTGCACTTAGTTTCACTGCTTTTTTTAGCACACTTTCATCAACAACATGTTACTAAGATTCCAAGATGTAGTGGTAAAAGTATTGCTTTTACTTGCAGATAATTTAACGTACAGCTTTCCAGAGTTATTATGAAGGAAAGAACTGACAGAATTGGTAATGTGGAGTAAACCTTTATTTTAAGCACCTCATTTTAATAAATTATTCTGGCTTTTACAGTAATACTTCAGGCTCAAATGGATCCCTTTGTAATGTAACATATCCTGCAAACAGTCACCTAAAATTCCATTTTTCAGTTTGACAGTGGAAAACATTTGTCTTTCTGCATGACAACAAAAGTATAGGAAACATTGCATTAGTCCACAATGGTCTTCATGATGTTGTCAGGAAGTATAACGGACAGTTATTTAGGATCAGGCTGACATGGCCCATTCTTTCTCTATAACAGATGCAAAGGGTCTAATTTGTCCAAGTATTAGGGAGTCAATGCTGCCTGATCTCTAAAAGGGAATGGTATGTATGCCAGTGCATTAATGGAGAAAACCATTAATGGAGCTATGGATGGAGGTTTAAAGGAACAGAGGGATAATTTTTCAGCCCATTATTACCATTTTTCTCCTACAAACTAAATCGGATCTCTTGCATCGTATGAGAGCCCCCATTTACAATGAAGGGGAAACACCAGCCAACATGTAAATAGATGTTATTCACAATTTGTAAAAACAAGAAGCATAACACTTCAGAGCTAAGTCTGCCTACATTTCTTCCATTAAAATCAAGCTGAACTGTACATTTTGCTTCTGAACTCTAAATCTGGATGTGTGGAAGTGCAAGCCAGTAGATTAGTAGAATTTTTTTTCCATCGGAAAATGTATTTAGGATGAGGAGGGATATACCACGGGATTTAACTGAGTCATTTTTGTTGGATCAGCATAAAATCCTGACTTTTGTATGATTGTGAAGATTGAAATGCACTGGTCCAGCCTAGAGAGTTGGCTTAAAACAGTAGAAAAGATTGGTAATAACTTCATGGCATCAGAGTTTTCCAGCCTCTTGCTAATTCCAGGAGAAATGGTTGTTCTCATACTGCAGATGGTACACAGAGAACTCTTGAGTAGTGCTTTCCTAACCACAGCTGTGTGTTTGGACACTTTCTGCAGAAAATGCCTCCCAGAGTGAGCTGCGAGATCTGCTTTCAGAGTTCAACCTTCTGAAACAGGTGAATCACCCTCATGTCATCAAACTTTATGGAGCCTGCAGTCAAGATGGTAAATATTAGAAGTTTGTTCTTAAGATGAGAATGTCAAATATGGAAATAAAAAGCAGTTCATTGATGGGTTTTGGCCATTGCTTAATTGCTGAGCACCTTTAAAATTTGCTGCTGGTGGGAAAAATGAGGGACATATAAGAAAAGCAATGTTTGAGGAGAAGGGGAACAGCTTATTCAGTCTAACTCATTTTTACTGTGTTTTTTTTGTCAACATTTTAATTCTGAAGCTATTTTAAATTTAACTTATCTACTAACAATTCTTCTCCAAGCAATATATATTTTTATATTATGTTGGTGCTCAGTAAGTGTTTTCAAATATGGGCTATACTTAAAGTTTAATGGGGTTTTCATTACTGTTGCTATTATTCATACTAAAACAATGCTTTGAGGCCTGAGCTAGGGACTTACATCTCCCTTTGGAAAACCAACCAAACAAATAAAAAACAAACCAGCAACAACAAAAAAGGCAATTACAGATCCTTTTGTTAAAATATAGCTGGATAGTTAGATTGGTAATTTTGTTCCTCTGTCACAAAACTATTATCTCCCTCTTGTGAAACAGTTGCTAAAAGCCGTAGTCATTGAAAGTATGTTTCAAAGGGGAAAATTTTCAAACATAGGTATCATAAACTGCCAATGAAGCAAATTTTCCTTGTTGTGCATAGGAACAGATCTGAATACTTTCTGTTCATTTTATATGAAGTTGCATGGCAACATCCTCTTCCTTTTCCATCTGTAATCATGCAGCCTATAATCACAGCATGCATGTCACAACCCTGAGCAAAGGCCTGCCTTCTCTGTCCACCTGGTTCTGTTGCAAGTGGCACTTAGAGCTGTAGAAAGAGAATATAATTCAGGACTTGTTCATTACCTTCCTAAGAGTCAGAGATGATTCAGTGGTGTGGGATCTTTCTTTTTTTTTCTCTTCAGTACAATGAGTTTTCTCATCCAAAAGGAAGTGAATTGTTTCTGAGTCACAGGCTTTTAATAAATATCAAGTTAATTCATTAGCATATGAGGTGGGAGGGCTTTGATACCGCAGACAAATATATTTAACATTAAAGCACTGAGTGGGTATTATTCATGTGGGTAAGGAGGAGGAGAAAGTAATGGATTGAAACGTCAAAATGTTTCTAAGTGCTCTGAAAGGCACCTTAAATACAACACTGGAATCAGGCAGATAATTTGCGAGCTCAGTATCACATGCTCCAGATGTATTTTTTTTAAAAGTTTCTCCAAGTTAAGCTGTTTCATGGAGCTGATTTGTGCAAAGACTGTCTCTTTTTCAGTCTCAAATTATCTAGATGAGGGAATATAGGAAAGAGCCTTAATTCTTCTTTGATTTAGGCTGAAACTCACTTACTTTGCATAGAGGATGGAAGCTAAAAATATCCTATGATTCCATGGCTGATTCAGTGACTTTTACACAAAGGCCAGAGATGTCTGGAGCCTCTGACTCTTCAAAACAATGTGTTGATTAGCAGAGACTTTTTTGGGTGTGGGTTAGGGAGTTATCTATTCATTGTTTAGTTACCATTGTGTTTGTTTATTTCAGGCCCACTGTATTTAATTGTGGAATATGCTAAATATGGCTCCTTGCGCAGTTTTCTCAGAGAAAGTCGAAAAGTAGGACCAAGCTACGTGGGTGGTGATGGCAACAGAAATTCGAGTTATTTGGATAACCCTGATGAGAGAGCCCTAACAATGGGAGATTTGGTATCGTTTGCATGGCAGATATCACGAGGAATGCAGTACCTTGCAGAAATGAAGGTAGGGCAGTCTAACAGTAATCTGAGCATGTCCTTCTGGCAGAAGGACATGTCAGTAGCCAATTCCTCCACAAGAAGCCTAAACACTATTGTTGGTTTCTCCCAAAAGCTTGTGCATCGTGATTTAGCAGCCAGAAATGTACTGGTGGCAGAAGGGCGCAAAATGAAGATTTCTGATTTTGGCCTCTCCCGTGATGTGTATGAAGAAGATTCATATGTCAAGAGGAGCAAGGTACAGAAAAACAGTAGTGGGAATTGTTACCTAATCAAGACAATGAATTTATACTACAGGAGTTGAGCACAGAAGGAAAAGACAATAGCTATTTTTTATTAACTTAGAATAATTATCTATTTTAAAGAAATAAAAGTGAAGATGAAGCAAAATTACAAGCTTAATCAGTGGGACAATACTATATATGTGTGTGTAAAAGATGTATCATATTGTCACCATTATCCCCTCTACCTCTTTTTGTTGACTCATCAACAAAACCAATTTTTTTCTGATATGTAAAAGTTAAAGAAAGAGAAGGGTCACTATGATGATTGAGGCCTTGGAGCATCTGACATGCAAGGAGAGGTTGATAGAGCTGGTTTTGGTTAGCCTGGAGAAAAGAGAGTTCAGGGATATCTTACTGATGTGTATAAATATCTGATGTGAGGGAATAAAGCCAGCAGAGCCACGCTCTTCTTATCATGGCCCAGTGGCAGGAGAAGATGCAATGGGAGCTATTTTGAGAAGTATATATGAGAAAGTCCAGTTAAAGAAAAGAAAAAACTTTTTTACGATAACAGTGATAAAACCCTGGAACAGGTTGCCCAGAGAATCTCCATCTCTGCAAATCACCAAAACCTGGGTGGAAGTAGTCTCCAGAAGCCTGCTGTGGCTGACCCTCCTCTGAGCAGAGGGGTGAGGTTCCTGCCCACCTCAGCAGCTCTGTGATCTTGTGAAAAGTTGCAAGGCAATATATAAAGAGCAGAATGAGATCTGCTCTTTCTTTCAAACTGATGTGCCAAACAGTCTGTAATAGATTATTTTTCTTAAGGCTAGAGAGTTCACACAGGATGCTTAAAAATACCATGTGTTTTGTTACTGCAAATACAGAAGGATGCCTATTTTCATTGCTGCAGCTTTTAACTATTAACCTTTTTACAGGTAGAGGGCAGCCCATTTTTTAATGAGCTGGGCCCTTTCATATATTCAGTTCTTCATCACACTGCTTGAAAACAAACCAAGCCCCCCATTATTTTTTTCTCTTTTCCTGTTTATATTTTAAAATAGAATTAAAAAAAAAAATAAATCCCAAGGAGTTGAAAAAAATGCAATTTCTATAAAGTTCCTAATCTGAGGAATTACCACATCTATGCAGAAGACTTGAAGCAAAGCCTCTCTACAAATATTTCTAAATGTATGAAAGATACTAAATCTTAATCAAAATGGTATGTCACAAGTCAGGGTAGATTAGCAGCTAATTCGTAGATTTGACAGAGGTTATTTAAAATTATTCTATTTTGCCTGCAACAATAAATTATTTTCAGGTGCCTAGATAGAGCCAGTCCCATCTGCTTGCAGTGCTCCTGGCAGGATTTAGCACACAGTAGCATTTCACCTGAAGGACTGTGCGAAGGAAATTTGATGGAAAGATGAGTTGTTGAATCACATAACTGCTTCCTGAAAAGAAATGCTTGAGCATATTAGCTTTAAGACTAAGAAAATAAGTTAAGACTTGTAATTTATTTATTCTTGTAAAAATTACTATCAAATACAGCAAGCCAAATCCTCCTTTCTGCCTTTTTACATCCACCTGTCACTGGCATCAGCATAACTTTTGCAAGTCAGTCCCAGGCCAGACTGTGATGTTCAGCAATGGTACTCTCTCTTGACTCTAGGATGAGTAGTGTTGCTTCATTTCCTTCTATGAAAGAGTTGCCAACAGAATTTTGTGAGTGTGCAAATTTTAGAATTCTATGAAAAGATTTCCATAAATAATGTCAATTTTCAGTTTAACTTTTCCTGTTTTTCAGGCCAGTTTCTGTCAATGTTTGATAAGTCAAATTAAGTTGTGAAGGAAAAAAAAAACAAACCTTATAGAAGACACGTTCATATGTAAAAGCTTTTGCCACGTTCATTTAGCTATCTTCTGGTGTGTGTGTCTTACACTGATCCATACCAGTTGCTCTGTATTTTAAGAACAATGCATTTGCATAAAGGCAGTTTTATTTTATTTGGCAGGGTGTTGATATACTGAATGGATATTTTCTCTTTACTTCTGAGATGCTCATTGCCATAGTATTCCCTTGTCAGGGCAGAGGGGTTGGAACTGGGGGATCCTTGTGGTCCCTTCCAACCCTGACAGATTCTGATCTGTTTTAGCAGAGGACTTTAGAGCCCTAATGGCTCAATGGTTGGACTTGATGGTCTTGAAGGTCCCTTCCAACCTAAAGGATTCTATGATTCTGTGATTATTCAGAGCCTAACAAGCATCTGTCTGCTTGCATAGGGAAATGGGGAAAAGAAAAAAATAATAGGAAGAAAGGTATGTTTCGAATCGTACTGCAACAGTTGTTGCATATATAAATGAATTTCATGAGAAAAAGAAGGCATATGAATGCTAGTGATACTGTGAAGGTTATGAAACATCTTTGAAATTTTGCAAACTGGGACAGATTTCTCAGAGTTTTATCAGTGAATTTCTGCCTGGGGAAAGTAGCAATTTGTAGATGCAGTTTAGTAACCAGTAACCAAACATGACTGTCGAGGTAGAGTTCTGAAACCAAAGGTATCTCAACATCTAGGTCCTTCCACTTATGCAGCATCCCTGATACAAATGAGATAGCTCTCCCTCCTTATCATCATTCCCCAGCATTTGTGCATTTGTGCATTTCCCAAAAGCAATGGGAAGACATTCATTCATGTTTGAAGAATATAACTCTATGGATGAAGCCCTTTAAGAGGAGAGTTGAGTTTATCTGACTTGCACTGGTGACCATCTGGGGAAAAAAAAATAAGCCTTATTGTACACAATTAGATTACTAAAGTGTGTGGAATGAAATGAATTAATGATTTTAAAAACTCTTACAATTGTTATCCTCGCTGTTATTTCCTATGAAATGCCAAATCATTGAGTCCATATTAGAGTAGGGTTAGAGTACCTGTTACAGTTTTGAAGGTAAATACTGTGGTTTTCCACTTGGAAACTTAATTTGCTGACCAGTAATTGCATTGGTTTTGGTTTTGGTTTTCCTCCTAGGGTCGGATACCTGTTAAATGGATGGCCATAGAGTCCCTATTTGATCATATCTATACAACACAAAGTGACGTGTAAGTGTCAATTCTTGCATTCTTTATGGTTTATGTACTCCTTTAAGGAGATGAGGGAGGAAGCACAAGGTACCCAGTAGCCAAAGCTGCTACTCTTACAAAGTAGCATGAAGGACACAGGCTTTCACTCCGCCTTTCACCACAGCCTGGATGGCACCATCAGCTAGCCATGATGCCTGAGATCTTTGCTGTTGAGCCAAATCTGAAGAAAATCTTATTAGAGCTGTTCAGGTGTTTGTATACATTTAACTCATGATCAGGTACTTTCTTTCTTTATGGGATGACTGACACTTGTGACTAGTCACCAGACAGACACTGTAAAACCAAGTATTATTTATTTAGAAGAAAAATCTCTAAGGAACTGCAAGAGCAGCTATACTTAGAGCCTGGTTTTCTGCTATGAAGCATTTTGATACCTTTCAAGCTTACCTTGAAAGAGGACCTGACTAAAGTAATGTTTTCATTAAACTCATATGAAGCAAAACATACCAATCTCAATGACATTTCTCTTTTGGGGAAAAACACTTTGATAACAGCAGTATGTGGAAATAGGAACTTTTGGATTTGTACTTCTAAAATTATTTACATTCATTTTTTTTACTCTTCTCTTTGCAGGTCAGAGCAGTTTTAGTGAAGTAACGTATTTTGCTTGCCTTGGAAATGCCTTAAAAAATGAATTGCCAAAATATTTTTATTTGCTTTTTTTTTAAACTTGGAATAAGAAAAAAAGTCATTCATCCCTGAGAATTACTAGGGTAATTCTCAGGAGACTGTCACTTTTATTTAGGTCTGCTTAAAGGTTTTTCTAGGTTTCTTTTTATCCTTCACAGAGTATTCATTGTGCTGACCTGCTTCTCTACAATGACTGTTCTCAGAGTAAAATTCTTGTTACAACTTCTTAGCGTATTTTTAATTTCTTCATTTTCTCCAAAATAGATTTGTCACAATGGTTGGGGGCCAGAATAGATTGTGCTGTCGTTTAACTGCCTTCTCTTTAATTGTTGATTGACCTTGTGGATCCAAGACCATCCCTCCCTGCTTGTTTTCCTCATGGGTTGCTATTAACCCCAGGAGCCCATCTCTTGTACATGTGATACACTGCCAGGCAGAGACTGGTCAGCTGGTAGCCAGCAAGCTAGCTCAGAGCCCTGGGCAGCACTCTGGTGCTGTGTAGCTTTACTGCTTCCCAGAACTGGGTCAGTATGTCCATGTAAAGCTGTGCTGATTTACCAGCTCCCTGGGAGATGCATTAGGTGCTCTCAGCAGAGCACGGCGTTGTGCTTTGTAGGTCTGCTTCAATGCAACTGGTATAAAAGGTCTAAGAATCAGCCACACTTAAATGGTGCCTTCGGCTCACTGGTGAGGTCATCCTCACTATTCATGTCATTATACATGAAGTAACCTAAAAGTGTTATAGAGCAGCTCCCAATTTAGCCAAATCTCTACAGAACAGTAGTGAGACACACAGAGAGTTGCCAAGCAAATCCTCTCCAGCACTAGGTTCCACTGGTGCCATTCCAGCAGCAGTAAACTGATAAATGAAGCACTTTTTGCAGCATTTGAGATAATTACGCTCACTGAAAATATGATTTTATGACTATTCATTGTTGTTTGTGGTGATGCAGTTATATTTTAGGTGATCATATATATTAATGTACTCAGAAAACATTCTAATATTCCATATTACAAATGCTTTTTCTGATAATCTGTATTTCTATTTTCCAGCTTTTCTATATAATTAGTGGTAAGCAATGCTTAATAGCAGTACCTCTTGCCAGCTTTTACAAAACCCCATTTTTGTTTCAGAGGTCAGTGCCATCAGTGGAAAGCTAGCCTACCATCTTCCTCTTCACATATTTTTGTTTCCTGGCTTTTTCTGATCACATTTTTATTCAGTAATAAACATAGCACAATCGAAAATTTTTCATCTCTCATTTCTCCCTCCACAGTATTTAATTTGTATAATGATTTGAAAACATTGCAGCATTCTATTCTAACATGCCCATTTACTAAACAACTTTAATTAGAAATTATTCATCTGATCTTCCTTCCACATTCTGTAAAATTCCTTTTGAGCAGCAGAGATGGATTTTAAAAATAAAACCTGCCATACTACAAAGTTTATTTGAATTAATCATGGGCCAAATTATAACCTGATGGCAGAGCATAATTGGCTTCAGAAAGGGTCCAAGGAGGTATATTAATTAAATATATGAAAATACTGTAAGTGTTCACTAGCTTTCAAGAATGTGCAGGGTGATTAAAAGTTAATTCAATTAATAGCATTAGGGAGAAAAATGGCAACACACCACTTAGGGCTGCCCGAGACTCACTTTGGCTTCTCTGTCAAATTTGGAAGTATTATTGGTTTTGGAATTACTTTTGTTCTTTAAAAGGTGAGAAGCACAGGTGGAATGTGATCAGACAGGAGATGACATTTGTAAGTAACTCTTTGAGGTGGAATTTTTAAATTTAGACACTGCTGTTCGGTTTGGCATTAGGTGTGTAACACTTCCTAAAAATATTATTAGAACTGGAGTTTTCACAGAAATTACCCAATGATGAGAGCACAAAAACTAACATTGTGTCATAAATTGTATATAGTTTTGCTTCCAGCTACAATGTCTTTCAGTGAAACAGCATTGACCGATTTGCTTCATTTTGAACATCCAAATTTTGGCAGTTCTGTCAGCTGATCAGATTCAGAAGAATTGTAGCTTCTTTGGGTCTCAAAAATGCATCCCACTAAGGAAGGAAAAACATTTTTGCCTCTTTTCTCCCAATCTGCCATCCAACAATGGACTAATCTATATAAATATTTCCAACTCATTGAGCATGGTCTTTTTGTTTGAGCTCGTCAATAACGTAGGTTAAAACCATCATCATTTCTTTTGTTCATTTTGGAAAATATTTTCTTTGGTCTTCTTTGCTATGTTAAACTATATTTTAGGTATTTGGTATTTCTAGAATAATTTTCTAGAATAATTTCCTCTTCTTTCATCAACTCTAAGAAGAAAGTTAAGTCCTGAATCAGTGAAACAGACCAGCTGAAATCAAAGTTGTGGCTTATGATTGAAATAAACACACTGTGCATATGGTCAAGACAGAAAAACAGTTCCTTGCTAACTGGTTGAGCCAGCCTGTGTAAATTGAGACAATTATTTCTGAATAGGTCTGTAAGGGCTAATTAGGGAGACTCCTTCTATAGCCAAAGGAAAGAGAGGCATCTTCAGGAGCACTGTACAGAAGAGGAACAAGCCTTTGGGCAGGACCACCATGGGAAAGACTTTCTCTTCCTGCTGTCTAGAAAAGATGGGCCTTCCCAGGATACAGTTAGCTTTTGTCAGTGGATAAAAGAGGGGTACCCCATGTCTCTGCTGTCTTGGTCGCTGATCTTTTTCAAGCATGGTATTCAGGAACAAGGATGGCCCTATATGCATCTGTACATCTCCTCTGGCTCAGCAATGTCTTGAATTTGGGAACCTTCTCAAAAGAGTAGAAAGAGATTTGTTGGGTGAAAGCCATACTAAGCTCATGAAACTTACAACTCTAAATAAAAGCTCATTTTCTCTTTTTCAGATGGTCATTTGGAGTCCTGCTATGGGAGACTGTAACTTTGGGAGGCAATCCCTACCCAGGTATTGCTCCTGAAAGACTCTTTAACCTCCTAAAAACAGGCTATAGAATGGAGAGACCAGAAAACTGCAGTGAAGAAATGTAAGTTCCTCTTGATCTGATTAGAGATTCATAAAACACCTTGTGAATAGTTTTAAAAAAAAAAAATAAAAGTTTTAAAAAATACTATGTAACTACTATTTCATGTATCTCCAAGGTATAATTAAAATACATAGTGCTTAAAAGAATATATGAAAAATTAGTGAGCACTAAAGTGCAGGAAAAGAATTGTCCATGGAATACTTGCAGCTACATACCAGTTCTTGTAGGATAGCAAATAACACACTTCCCAAGCAATTAAGAGAGTTTGAATATTCAAAACTTTTGAGGGTGAGGGGAGGAGGAGAATTTCTTAAAACACAGTGGTAGCTGAAATATTCAAGAAAATGTTTCAATACTTTTCTGCAAATGAGATAGATGTTCCATCCACAGTCATTGTCTTATTAGATGTTCTGGCATTACATAGGAGAAATTGATAGCTTGACACAGAAAGCTGTATCCTGGAAGACACAAATTTTCTTTGACTTGTTAAGTCCATGGCAATTTCTTTATTAGTTGGAGATAGTTTGTATGTTATTGGCTGATTTATTAAAACACTGTCATTGTGAAATACCACCTCTCTGTGGTTCTTCCATGGCATTTGAAAATGAGGTGTGACTTTATGTTCATCATGCAAATCCTGGTCCTGGTCAGGTTTGTTCAGGAAGTTACCAGGCTATAATCACTATGACATCTCTCGTTCAGCTAATTTTCAATATGAAGGATGCTTTGGCCACATCCAGGATGAGAAAATGCAGGGGAGTTTTGTGGTTTCTTTTTTTGTTGGTGTTTGTGTTTGTTAATACCATATACAGAGAAAAAAGCATTAAAGTTATCTGAATTTAGGGCAGGGTAGAAGTTTACAAGTGTCACTGGCAAATAATCTCTAGCAAACACTGGATTTTTTGGTTCCTTTCATCTCAGCAGGGAATAAGACTCCATTCTTCAAACATATGTCTTATTATTGATAATTATTAGGTTAGGCAAGCTGACCATGTCTCAGTTTCTTTTTTTGTTGTGGCCACACCATGGTTTTTTGAATGGTTCAGATTTTTTTTCTTTTAGTCAGGAATTTTTCTGACAGCCTCTGAGAGCCCACTTTAAAGACCATTTTTCTTAAACTGTATTCTCCACTTCACCCAGTGAAGTAAGATCACAGATGAGGGCAAAATCTGGAATGCTTTTCAATAGCTTTCTGTAGTTGTTGTAGCCAGCTATTTCCACAATTAGAGCACCTTTGATTAGATCACTTAGTCCTGAAAAAACTCAAGGTAGAAAAATAATATGAACAGCACAGGCTGGAGAATTATACATCCAGCAGTTGGCTGATGTCTGGCTGGCTGTCACTCAAATATAAAACTTTAATTTTTCTCCCTTTTGTTTACATGTTTTATGATATAAAAGACAGTTCAAGACAGAATAAAAATAATCAAAATAACAACACAAGTAATCAAGAGAGTGTTAGTTTGTGCAAATAGTCTTAGGTTAGGCTTCACTTCGAAGAAAATTTTACAGAAAATTTTCAGATTTAAAGAAATTATGAAGAAAAGTCAACTTTCTGATATAACCACAGATTTTTTTCAGGTTGAGAAATGCACATCAGTGATGATACACAAATTCCTTCAGTCATGTGCAAACAAAATGAATTAGAAATCCGGTATGAGGCAGTCCTCTGAGAAAGTGAAAATAATGAAAGAAACATAAGACTACAGTCCTTCAAGAAGAGCCAAGTGCATCATCATTTGAACTCATAAAGACTCATGAAAATAAAAGCCCATTCTTGTGAATGTCAGTTGTTGATTCAAGGGAATGCTTAACAGAACATAGGACAAAGATTGATGTACTTGTGGATGGCTTTCATGCCACAGTTCAACTGCAGTACTATAAATTATTTGAGCAGAAGCATTACCCACTTCTAATAATTTTGGGGTTTTTTCCACTTTGTGGTGGGGCACAGGTACAACCTGATGTTGCGCTGTTGGAAGCAAGAACCTGATAAAAGACCAACATTTGCTGAGATCAGCAAGGAACTAGAGAAAATGATGGTGAAGAGTAGGGTAAGTGTGGAAAGCATGAGTTTTTGGAAGTTTTTGTGACCACCCGAATTTCAATGTACAAATTTAAAAAAAAAAAAAATCAAATAATCAAATTTTGTAGCATTTACAAATCTAGTTTCTTAGAAATGCATGCAGCTTTTAGAAAGCAGTACTGCTTCATATATTGTCTTTGTTGACTTCAGCCCTAAATGCAGATGAGTTTATCCTTAATCTGTCCAGCTTCCTTGAATAAATAAATAAAAAGAACAATTTAAAAGTTACTATAAAAAGTTACTCCTAAATTGCACTCCTGAATAAACAACCTTAGGAAGCCTAGAAGTAGAAGAATGCAGTACTTCCTTGAATCTGTTTTAGTTATATGGTGACAGTAACAGAAGTATGAAAGCTTGAGAAATCAGTAATTTTTCTTCTTGCTTTTCTGAATGAAAAGTTCTGAAGTTTTTAATTTATAAAATTGGGTAACTTTACCTTTTAAAAGTTTAATTTCAGCAAATTTCCAAAGGAAAAACCATTTTGAAAGGAAAAAGTATGTTTTAGATTAGTTGAAAATGCTTCACATTTGCTTTTTGCATCAAAGCAGTTCAGCAGCATAGATGAAAACTGATAAATTCTTATGGTTGACCTAAATTCTTAATTTTAGAACAGCAGCAGAAAAAACTTTATTTGGTAATATTTACACAGCTAATTTTATACATGATTATGTAATAGCTTTTATAAAATGATAAGAAGGTCTGAGTACCTTCTCCTTTAAGCATGCATATGGATCTCCATATATGTATATGTGTGCATATATAATTTCAGGCATACATATGTATTGGGCACAACAGAAAGTGAAGGCCAAACAAGTCAGCTAGCACAGCCCTTTAACTTCTTGGTTATTTTGCTGCTGTGCAGAAGTAAGGAAGGCAGGTATTAACATGCCAGAACCCTAGACATGTTGGAGACAAATCAGATTCTTCCAAAGATGCTATGGCGGCAGAAAAGGAAAGCCTGCTCAAGTGCCAGAGGTACTATCAAAAGATGAACACACAGGGTCTGTAGTTACTCGTGTTAAAGAAATCAGATGCACATTTAGCCTTTATACCAAACCAGCAACACTGCCACATATATTAACCCTTTTTGTGTGTGTGTTTACTTCTTAGGACTACTTAGACCTTGCAGCTTCCACGCCTTCCGATTCCTTACTTTATGATGATGGGCTCTCAGAAGAGGAGACACCCCTCGTGGACTGTAATAACGCTCCCCTCCCTCGAACCCTCCCTTCCACATGGATTGAAAACAAACTCTATGGTAGAATTTCACATGCATTTACTAGATTCTAGCAACACAAAAAAAAAAAAAAAAATTTTTTCCTTCTGCACTGTTCTCAGACTCTGTAACCCCATTACAGTGTTTCTTGTCTGAATGAAGCCAATCAAAATTTGCTTGGAAGCTTCTTTTGGGTTTTTTTTGTTCGTTTGTTTTTTCTTTTGGTAAATGTTTGCATCAGGATCATTCTTTAGTCATTTTGCAGCTGTGTTTAAAATAAACATTTTTAAAAGGATGTGAAAATATATAAAATTATTAGATATCATACCGTAAAAGGAAAAAAAAAAGATCAGGGAAGTATTCTCAGCGGTAATATGGAATCCTAATGAGTGTCTAATTGAACTGTCCTGCTGGGGGAGGCTAGGAATGTTTAAAGCATGTTAGATTCTGCAGCTCTAATTTAAGCAATAGACTTTTTTTTTAATACTGTTGGGTTTTTTTCCATAGCTCAATGGTAGGACCCATCTGCAACATTTGTCATTTATAGGGGGGGGTTTCTAAATTTCAGCTGCTGATAATGCATTCTGGATCCATAAGCTGAAATGTCTAATGTATCATAGAATGAAACCAGAGTATTATATACAGAAGGTAGAAATAATGTATATAAGTATTACATACAGACTAAATCAACATGTAAAGTCTGTTGAAAACTGAATTAACAAGGAGCACTTTGAAAATACACTCAGCTGTTTTCACGTCCTTTGATTTATTATGAAAATGTCAGTACTAAACCTTGACTGAATGATGTAGCAAGTGTTTTCAAAAAGAACATAAGCTTTCATAGTATGATGGTGAGATGGACAGTAAAAATGGTTCTTGCCAAAACTCCTACATTTTGTCTCCTGATTAAATATTCTACATGTTTTATATATTTACTAACATCACAGATATTTTTTTCATTCCTCAAGCAGTATGACTTTTGAAAAGTTAGATCTTTTAGCCTAAAGTTGCCATAAATACATGGCTTTGGGTCTATTTTTTATCTACACCTTAGCTATAATTTTCTTTAATAGGTTTGCCCAACTCATGTTCACTTTGGGGCACTTAGTGGCCAGATTGATTAAAGAATGCAGGAACAGAAAAAGTTGCCATTGAGGTTGATGGCAGATGCTGGATGCTTAATATGCAACAAAATCAGATTTCTGTATTTGAAAAACTTGACCCTGGTATGGTTCTCTGCTTGTACAGCTGGATCAACATGGTCCTAAGCGCTCTGCTTCCATTTTGGTGATCACCTGTGCCTAAATTGAGAAGCAATTGCTAGACTCAATGCAAATAATTACATGCCTGAAATACATGGTTAAATGTTGAATGAAGAGTGCTCAGGACTTTGTTGGACTTTACCCAGTTGTGCTCCTGGGATTTCCTAAAATTAAGCAGGGGATCCCTGGGGAAGGTGTGAGAGTGTCCCCAAAACCTCACTGAAGCCAAAGGAAAGCCACCTGTTTAAGTAAATGGAAATACTCGGTCATTAGGATGGACTTTGGATCCTGTCCCAAATAGGCACATTAATTCTTGGAGTACTTCCTGTACAGCAAGGACTTCTTTTGCAAAGCAATATATTGCTATGCGATTGTTAAAAAAGAAAATTATGGGAAGTTTGATCCTCATCAGAAGAAAAACTATCTTTTTATTATGCATGTGTGTGTGCACACAAAATTTTTTATCAAGTAAGCGCTTTATTTTTGTTCTATTTGCTCTTACTTACATCAGAATTTGTGCTTCAGAGATCTTGAAGCGTAATTTATATTAACTGATTTGGGACAAAATCCAGCGGACTGGCTTAAAATATTGAAGGGAGTTTTGCCAAGGGCCTTACTGTCTGCACATGAAGTTATGGTTCTTCAGTGCAGAAAAAATTATCTGTTTTCATTTTTAGGCATGTCATACCCGAACTGGCCTGAGGAGAGCCCCGTTCCACTCACAAGATTCGATGGCACTAACTCTGTGTTTTCAAGATATGCAAATGATAGTGTATATGCTAACTGGATGGTTTCACACTCAGCGGCAAAATTTATGGACAAGTTTGATAGCTAAAACTTTCTATGTGAAAGGTAATGGACTCCTGAGGGGAACAAAGATGCAAAGAATGGAAAGTCCATTGGCTCATTCTTTGTATAAACAATAACTAACTTTTAAATTGGCAAACCCTTTTATTGGTAGTTTCTAAAATGCATTATTCATGCTGAAGGCTATAGTTGGTGATCTCCCTTTCAGAAAACATATCAAGCGGGATAAGAGTTGTAGTTCCAGTACTTCTTTCTAAATTGCCATTTTGCACATGGTTCCATTTGGCAACTCCTTCCTGCAAATGGCCTCACACTTCATTCTCTCTGTGTTTGAGACTAACCAACCTGTGTTACAGGTTTCCTGGATAGAAAAATGTACTTGAACTGCTACTTTTATAGTGGCTGTTAGCATACAACCACTTGATCTAAGCAGGAAGCACAAACAATATATGGAGGGGAAGGGGGAAATAGGCTCCCAAATTACTGAGCTTGCTATCAAATGAGAAATTTTATTATGATGTTCACACTAACAAAGCCATTATTTTGGTTTGGAAGCAAACATTAAGTAATCCAATAGAAGACTTGAGATTCAGCATTTGAAGTCTTGTAAAATGTGTTGTCTTAATGAGAAGAGAGTTTCTTATTTCTAGTCTTAACTTACCGTTAGCACAATGGAGATAAATTTGATACAAGATAAGCTGTATAGACTGATAGCAATCAAGAGTGTTCATCTGACACAATTTACTTTCCATCACCTACATCTTACTAATGTTAAAACACACAATCTTGTACAGTTGTAATTCCTCTTATGAGTTCAAAATAGGCTGTACAGGATTCTTAGGTTGAATTCGCATAAAGAGATTTTGGTTTTAGTCATGTTCAGTGCGTTGGAGTCCTTCTCTCAGCTCCAAATTGGATACACTGCCATGCACAGGACACTGCCATGACATAACTCCAAATAAACCTATTACTTTGAAAGTCATGAGCAAACAACACTTGCACAGCAAAACTGTTCTAAATTTATGCTGTTAATGAAACCATACAAGGAAAATGTCATCGGACTTTGTTAAGGTGAAATATAAAAATGTTGTCCTTGCAACACTGACTTGATTCTTGGGAGAATGATCAGACTGTGGATCATGTGTTCTATGTGGAAGAGTAAACAATCAGCATTACTTTTGTTTTTATTTGTGATCTAATATGGTTAAAGATAACTTTTTATTTGCTACAAATGTTGGAACGCAAATCCCAAGTGAGTCGTTGTTAGCGTTATGATGGTTATTCTAAATAATCTAATTCTACCAAAGCTTGCTCCTGTCACAATCCAATTTAGCTGTTTTCAGATGTTTTGTGTATCAACTTTATGTTTCCATTAAACTCTGTGATTTCAGAAACGAGAGTCAGACTGCCAAAATATAAACTCGGGTTTACATTTTACAAAAAGTGGAATATAAAGTGTTGAGTTGGATTTTAAGCACCTTCACTGTTGGATACCATACTTGATCCTGTCTTGGCTTTGGACAAGCTCTAAGCAGAGTGACTTTTGCTTTTTACAAATATTTGCTGTGTTGTGTACTCCTTATGTACAGTAGAGGGATAAGGCAATGTATATTGAAGGGGCTCAGTTGTGATACAACAGCGATCGTCATTGGCATGACTCAACTGTCAGAATGCGTAATTTTAACATAAATGGCACTGAAAGTCAAGCCTATTACGTGGGCTTTTTTTTTTAATTGAGAGATGTATGAAAAAAAGAAAAATGGCACGTGGTAACTTCTTGCTTTGTTCAGTCCTTTTTCTATATTTTACGTTTGCAAATGGGAATTCTTTATTTGCCATGAGCAATCAAGGCATCAAGAGTTTTTGTTTTGTTTTTTTAACACTTCCTTGAATTCAGAATTTCATCAGCCATCTTCAGAAACTGTATTCAACCAGGAGATGTGAAGTGCCCAGTTTCTAGCCTGAAAAGCCCTGTGATAACGCTGCTGTACAGTAGTTGAGTGGGATAGGGAGTGATGCTGAAATAACCAGTGGATGCAGAAAATACACTATATTTTAGACTTCCAGAACAGGCCTATGTTGTTTCAACCATTAATTCCTGTGAAAAAATTCACTAATAGTTATTGTCACCTATGTTACTGGACATAATGCAATACATACACAGTTCATAATTGTAGTTGCCATACATAATTACCTGCCTTAAGTGCAGCCTAATGAAAAATTCTTAATCCATGTTTACTAATCCAGCTAGTTTTGACTCTCTTCCTGCTCATGAATGTTGGTAAGAAATAGATTATTACTTTCAAGTATTCCTGTCTTCTGTGTATGCTATTTTTATAAATATTTCCCTTGAAGTGTTTCCTTTTTGTTCTGTGTTGCCACTAGTCAGAATAGTGACAATCTTGTTTCAGTTCCTCATTAGAGTAAATGTATTTCCTCTTTAGGGAAAAAATTGATACTGCAGATGATTATTTCCATGGGTGCCAGAAATACACACTTGGCTGGCTGAGTATAGTGAATTCAAAGGGAACAAATAACTCACCTAAATGGACAGGTTGGCAGGAATAACCTTCTAAAAATTTCTGCCAGCCTTTTCTAAATATTGCAGAGATGACATGGTTTACCTGGCCTGTGCTTTGAGTTGTGACAGACGGGGGAGAGGGTGAATCTCATGTGTCCTTCCAGTCATTACAGTGGCACAAGGAAGTTATTGTAACACCTATCACTCCAAATTTTTCCAGCAGTATGATACTCAGAAAATACACTTGTGGGGTTGCAGATTTTCATCTGCAGACATTAGCCTGTTTCATATAATGGAAATTTAAAAAAATCCTGTCCCGTGAGTATGAGGTACACAATATTTAAGTCATATGGATTTAGCTACAATTTGTCACACAAAATGTTCATGAATCTCTATGACACACTCAACTGGACTTAAGTAATTCTCAAAAACATACAGTAAAAGCAAGTTTCTATTCCTTATGTTTTATAAGTAATCTTACATGACTAATACAAGCCTCAAAATATATCTAAAAGTTATTTCTTCTGTAACTTCTGAACATTCAAAAAAATTCCTTATAATTTTGAAACGCTTTGTTTCAAAACTCAGTCCACCCAAAAGCCTTG